TGAAAAAATACATTGAACAACTTTTCCTACAACTAAGGCATGGAGAGCAAGTTAGAAACTTGAATGGATGCACATTGATTTATGTGGCCCTATGAACACACTTTCTCTCAGTCAAAACAAATATTATCTCTTGTTTATTGATGATTTAACTACAATGACCTAGGTGTATTTTTTGTTTAGCAAGTCATGTGTATTCTCTGGTTTTAAAAAGTTTAAAGTGCTAGTTGAGAAGCAAAGTGGCTGCTAACTTAAACCTTTGAGGTTAGACAATGGAAAGGAATATACTTTCAAGGAGTTTGATTTTTTTGTAAAGAGCATGGTATAAATTATCAGTTAAGAGTGAAGTGTACACCAGGAAAAAATGGTTAACAGTGAAGTGTACACCAAGAAAAAATGGTGTTTCTAAGAGAAAAATAGAACAGTTATGGAAATGGTTAGAAGCATGCTTTTTGAGAAAAATTTTCCTAAGAAGCTTTGGGCAAAGGTAATGTGTATTGCTTTTTATTTGCTACATAGCTTTCCAACTAGAGTTGTTGAAGGTAAAACTCATGTTGAGGTTTGGTTTAGACTTAGGCCTTTGGCTTATCATTTGAAGGTTTTTGATTCTATATGTTATATGCATGTTCCAACAGCTAGAAGAACCAAGTTGAATGAGAAAGATGAGATGGGAATTTTGGTTGTTTATTTAGCAAAGTCAAAGGGATATAGAATTTATAATTTGCAGTCTTAAAAAGTGGAAGTGCAAAGAGATGTTTTAATTGATGAATTTGCTTCTTGGAGTTGAGATGATAACAAATTATTAAGGAGTCTTTTTCTCAATTAAATGAAGACTTAAATGTTGAACAAAATACAGCTTCTGCTTCCAAACATCAGAATGTTGTTGAAATTGATGATGATTCAGCCTCTTTAAAGGTAAAGTAACTTGAAGATGTGTATGCTAGGTACAATTTGGTTACTTCTAATCCAACTTGTTTTATTGAGGCTTCAAAACATGATGAATGGATGGTTGCTATGAAAGAAGAGCTAGTTATGATTGAAAGAATAAAACTTGGTCACTTTGTCCTAGACCAAAAGGTAGAAATTTGATTAGGATTAAGTGGGTTGTTAGGACAAAGCTTAATCCCGATGGTTTAGTAAACAAGTAAAAGGCCAAATTAGTGGTTAAGGGAAATGCATAGCAGCAAGGAGTAGATATTTCTAAGACTTTTGCACCAGTCGCAAGGTATGATATTATCAAACTGTTGCTTGCTACTTCTACTCAAAATGGTTGGAAGGTTTACCATTTGGATGTGAAATCTGCTTTTTTAAATGGTTTTTTAGAAGAAAAAATCTACATTGAGCAACCAAAGGGGTTCCTTGTTCATGGAAGTGAGGATATGGTTTACAAGCTTCATAAGGCTATTTATGGTCTGAAACAAGCTCATAGGGCCTAGTATGGTAAGCTTGATGCCTACTTAATATAGCAAGTTTCAGAAGGAGTGAAAATGAAGCTACTTTGTATGTGAAAGACACAAATGGTGATGTACAGCTTCTAGTTTCAATTTATGATGATGTACTTATTACTTGTTGTGATATTCGGTAGGTGAAGCATTTTATGTCTTTAATGAAAGAAGGCTTTGAAACGTCAGATCTTGGGGAAATGAGTTTCTTTCTTGGTTTGGAAATTAAGCAATGTAGTGTTGGTTCTTTCTTGTTGTATAGGAAATATACATTGGATCTGTTAAAAAAATTTAATATGGACAATAGCAAACCAGTTTCTACTCCACTTGTTTTGCATGAAAATTTGTCCCAAAAGGATAGAAAAGCGCATATGTGGATGCTTCACAATATAGGAGTATAGTTGGCAATTTGCTTTATCTTACTGCAACAAGGCTTGATGTCATGTATGCTACTAGTCTTCTATCTATATTCATGAGTTCTCCTACTCAACTTCATTTTGCTACTAAAAAAGGGTGTTGAGGTATGTCAATAGCACTTCAGATTATGGAGTTTGGTTTGAGCATATTGATTCTGGTTCTTTGGTGGGATATTCTGACAATGATTGGGCTGGTAACTTAGATGATGGAAGAAGTACTATTGATTATTTATTCAAGTTTGATTCTGGTGTTTTTTTTGCTAGAACTCATTTAAGCAAGATGTAGTTGCTCAATCTAGTACTAAAGCTGAATATATTTCAGTTGTAGAAGCTTCAAATTATACAATGTGGTTGAGGAAAATATTAACTGATGTAGGACAGCCTTAACTTTTTCCTAGTTTGATTTATGTGGACAATATGTCAGTTATTGCAATTGCTCAAAATCCTATGTAGCACAAGAGGACTAAGCTTGTTCATGTCAAGTATCATGTAATTAGGCAGTACATCAAGAATAAGCAAATTCAATTGCTTCATTGTAGCTTAGATGTTCAACTTGCTGATATTCTTACTATGTCTTTGCTAAAGCAGAGGTTTGAGATGTTGAAAGAGTTGCTTGGAGTTACTAGACTTGCTTTTAAGGAGGAGTGTTAGTGTATTTAAGATCAAGTCTGTTAAGTTGGTTTCTTAGCAGTTTATGTTATGTAATTATGTAATCCATGCTTGTATGTAGCAATTTGTATTGTAGTTTCTTAACTCTTGATAACTGTCACGTTTGTGTTGCTATTTTTCTTTATAAAACAATATGTACACTTTATTTTCTTTTTTTTATATTTATGTCTTGCTGAGTTATACCAGAAAAACTCAGTATATGTTCTTTGAATATTAGTGTTTATGTTTATCACAGTTTAAATTAAATCTTAAGTTTATGTTCATTTTCACTTGAGTTTTCATCTTTACATCTAGGGGTGTTCGCGGTGTTGTTTAATTCGGATTGTAATGTTTTTTAAATCAATCCAATTTAATCAGTCAATAAAATTTTTAAACTAATCTAATCTACTATAATATAATAATCAAACCAATCCAACTTAAATTGGATTGATGTGATTCGGTAAAATTGATCAGTTTTTAATACTATTAAATATATGAGATAATATAAAAAATGTTAACATCAAATAAAAAAACATAAATGTAAAACACATTAATATCCAAATCAATAGAAACATAATAAAAGGCATAAATTATAAATAAATTTTTATACTCATTTACAACCGTAAAGATTAAAAAGATCTGAAAATTCTTTTTGCCTATATTACTAGAAGCATAAAAAATAACAAAAGATGATTCGAAGTTTCAAATATAGTAAA